AAAAGACTATACTCTTCTCTCAGTTTTTCCTCACACTACCTACCTACCACTACTCCTACTTATAGGCATACGGGAAACCCGGTAGCATACCAGAACCGTGTTTTTACGGCCCCTCAAGCCTGCAGGATACCGGCCAGGGGACGGCCGGTAGCACCAGGGATAAAGCGAACCAATCCCCCGTTCCTCCCCTCAGGCCCCTCCCCTACGAACATAGCAGGGGCCTCGCTCCACTACTCTCGACATGCATAAAAGACCAAATTCATGGCCGTGTATCTTTCCATGTTCTAACAGTAGATTCACTCTTCTTTTGCACATTTCGAGAGTAATGGAGCGAGGCCCAATGATGGGCCTTGCCACACGACACATGAAAGGTGGAAATAAAATGAATCTGGCCACAGCTGGAAATAAAACGAATCTGGCCACAGCTAGTGGCGAGGTACACTTTTCAGAGATGTACCTGCTTTTTCTCAACGTTCATGTGCCTACGCTACACGTATTCCTCAACATTCATATGCCTTTTCCCGAAAGAAAAGAAAAGAAAAAAAAAAACATTCATATGCCTGCCTTCTTCTACAGTGCATAACGTCCTGTCACGGGCTGTATTCATGATGGCCGGGCAGTTTGTCGGTGGGATGGGAAGAAGGTAAGGTAGTAGGCCTATGCGCAACAGCTGTTCAGTTCAGTTCTGGGGTGATCATTTCCAGTGCACCTGCCTGTCTGGGACCCATTTGGGCCCACGACACACGTTGCAGTCCCCAGGTGGGCCACAGAACGCCCGCAGGCTAACAGGGCACATACAGCGTGCCTGCACCTACAGCCGAACAGCACACCCGCCTGCCCAATGCTGTGGGCCCAAAGTGGACGCACGCTAGCGGGGTGCCCGCAGTCCCCGCAATGCAAGGGGCGATCATGTTGAAAACATGCACAAAAAAAAGCACGCACGAAAACGAAAGAACAAAAGCAGTCCTCAACAGAAAAACGCAGTCCTCAGGGTTTTTGTATATGCAATAAAAGGCCATACTTCCCAAAAAAAAAAAAAAAGCAGTCCTCAACAAAATATGGCTCCCAAAAAAAAAAAAAAAAAAAAAAACTGGCGCCCTAAGGGCATACTCACACTAGGACTTCAGGTGATTCTGGACGGATTGCGGGGACGCCGTGAATGCGGTCCGATACACTCGAGATACTGCTAGTGTGATTTCGCCCTAAATTCATCAGCCCCAGCAAGGGTCCAGCAGGTCCCGCGGGATCCCCTGCCTGAAATGTTGTTGACAATCTGGGGCCGCGTCCTCCGGGGGCCATGTCCCACTTGCACCGTTGAGTTGAGCTAGCTCAACGGTGCGACACGGTTTTCGTGATTAAAAATCTATTTTCTCGCATTTTTTGTCAATTCCATAAAGACCTTTTCGGCAATTTTTTGTATTCTGTGAATATATTGAAAAATAAAAGAAGTAAAGGCGAAATCGTTATCATTACTCCTTGTGCCCGAACCTGTGAAGAACCTCATGCGCTGTGCTTACGGAGTGTGGTCTGACACTACCCGCCGATCACGGCGCCTGGCACGACGGCAATCATGAACCTGTGTCCGATAATTTTTCGTTTTCGGGGGAAATCTATCCGAGCAGCCACCGTTGAACTACCTACCCCGTTTTTGAAAAGGCAGCTAGTTCAACGGAAGTGGGCCAGGGTAGGGTGCGTTCTAATCGGGGGCGGCCACATTATCCCCTTCGTTTCGACCAAAAAAAAAACCCGAAAGTCGTTTATCATTTCACAAATAAATTCAACTGCCCGATGCCCCGCTCCTCGTGTGATCGTGTGAGTCGCCCCAGGGGTCTGGTCCCACCTGTGTTGTTGAGAAAACTCAACGCGGAGTTTTCTACGACGAGCGACAACGTTCGACAGGATGTGGCCGTCGACAGGGCTGCGATCCCACGGTTGGAAGTATTTCGAAATGTTGATGTCCTACCGGGTGATTTGAATGATTTTTTTTTTTGTATAAGGACTTTGAATGGACTCCCGCAATGGAGGGAAGGCGGCATGGGCAAGCGCCACGGAGTTGAGAAAGCTACCCTCCACGGTCGAGGGTAGGTTTCTCAACATGGTCGATGATAAATTTTGCGATTTTTGGGATTTTAGTCGCTGTCTGCTGTTCCCCGTTTCTCGTATACTGTGTCAGGCACTTCGTCAGTGCAATGAAAGCTGTAACTGTCGTGCGTGGGCTCTATAAGGCCTCGCTCCGTTGCTCACCACATGCACAAACAAAAGAAAAAAGAAAGTTGATGTATGTTTCCGTGTTCTTGCCTATATTCATTGCTCTTTGGACCCACTTCGACGTCCTCGTGTTTCCACATCATGGGGCCTCGCTGCACTACTCTCGACATGCACAAAAGACAAAAATCATGGCAGTGCATCTTTCCATATTCTAGGGGAAGATTCACTCTCGTTTTGCACATTTCGAGAGCAGTGCAGCGAGGCCCATATGGTACTTCAAGATACGCAGAATCCTCGACAGAAACCACTATTTTCGCATCATTTTCTTAAAATGAACAAAAACGACTTCGACAGAAGAGGGACGGGCGTACCAACGGGCGCAGGAGCGCTCCGCAGTGCGCTACCGGTTTGGGGGAACCGGTGTCACTAACGCCGGCCGGGGCACGAAGCCCAGGCTCCGGGGTGATTGCCAAAGCCTACCTAGCATGGCTAGGTCAAACCCTTCCAAGGGAAGGGGAGGAATGGAGGCGAGGTAGTGGCCGAGAACCAATCAAGTCATGAGGTCTTCATATCTAATGTGTGACATGTGTAACCGACGTGGCACCTGCGGCGCGCACGTCTCTGATGCGGGAACAAGTGCGAGTCTCTTCTCTTCTCACGGTACCTCCTTCGGGATTCGACGCCTACAGGAAACAGAGACAAACGGCGAATTTCTCTCAGCGGCTTGCTCGATGCAGTAATCATGGTGGGCTGACGGAGAATCCGAGGAGTCAGCTGATGGTATACCATCTCTCTCAGCTTTAACCCCTTTCCGCGTGCGGCAGGCTACGCTCCCTTGGGTGGTCCTTAGCCCGTTCCCAAATCCCCCCAGTCCGATTAGATGTGTTTCTGCTTAAAGATCCCGGGCCTGGGGCTTGCGTTAACTTATCCAGAATAACCTCGTTTTTACCTGTCCTGGTTTCTTTTTTTAGTGTTTGATTTCTCCTCTTCGTCCAGAATGAGTGCGGCAGTCCCCCCTCCCCCATTGGGAGGTGAGATAAGTCAAGCCCCCCCTTCAGGAGTCGTGGACCCAAATAACAGTAATGATGTCAATCGTATTAAAACATTGTTGGATTTATGTTTTGATGATGGGGTGTTCCCGGAATCTGACGTGGTTTTTGGGGAAACTGAGATAGTGGAAGGGATCGGTTATTTAACGTTAAATGAGGAAGTCGACTCTGCGGCGGTCAATTGGCTGAAAGCCCGGACCGTAATTGTCTTTTTTGATGAACCAATAATAACCTTGTCCGTTTCTCAACGGGAACAGCTTATTAGGGTCTACGAGGATGCATGGTACCTGGACCCCACGGTCAACCCTTCGAAAAAAAGGGGGCGAACCCATGGGGAAGGCCCAAACGTAATGTCTTACGTTGCCAGGTCAGAGTGGATCGCTCAGTGGATGATCATGAAAGGGGAGGATCGTATCCCCACCCGAAATGGCTCATTCAAGGTTTTGTTCAAGCCCTGGTTGACAAGACAAGAACTCGAAAACATGAGAAATAATGAGCTAGCTGGGAAATTTCGTGTCATCGCGCTTAGGGTTCCATTGGAAGCCCTGGCATCACTTCGTTTTGCAATCCAAAGGCTCATGGGCAGGATACTTGTCATGCACCCTCCAGAAAAAAAAACGGAGGAGCCAAGATTAGGTAATGTCCGAATTGAATGTGTTCCAGAGGTTCGAAACTCATTTGTAGAACAAGTAGTCATTCGGAAACCCAATGGTGGATTGCTTGAAATTCAGTTCGCAAATCAAGACACCCCTTTCTGTCACAAATGTTTATGGTGGTTCCACGATGAACATGATCCGGAATGTCCTAAATTTAATGAGCCCATGCCAGCAGGAAGGGGTTCGAGGGGAAGAGGTGGGAGAGGAAGAGGGAGAGGAACGGGAGGGAGAGGTGGTGAAAGGAATGCAAGAAATCAAGGTCGAGGAGGGGCAAACAACGGCCAGGGCGGTAGCACCGTCTCACAAGGGAACACCGTGAGTCAGGGTATCGGGGTGACTCGGGGTATGAACTTTTCGGGAGTTGATGCAAATGCGAACAATGGAGGTGGGAGGGTCGGAGAAGGAGCAAGGCTGGGGAGCAGACCTTTGGGCGCTACGGGTAACAATGGATTGAGGAATGAGATGGGTGCTGGAAGTGAAGGGGGGAGAAGTGAGGGAAGGGTAAGAGCAGGAGAGGGAGGAGGAGGTGGAGGAGGAGGTCCGGGAACTGGCAGTGGAAGGCTTTCTGGGAGTAATGGAGTTATTTTTACATCTCCGCCCTCCGCACACCCGACCCAAGGGACAGTCGTACTCTCCCAAGGTCTTCTCCCCCCCCSCMTGGRGCAGTTGAGGCTTCCCCCCCCCCCACTGGTCTTCCCCCCCCCCGTTATGGCTACTGTGCAAAGCGTGGTCCCCTTTAACAGCCAACGCCTTCCTCCCTACCCCCAGAGCGTTTCTGCTCCATTGCCCTATTCGTACACATCCCTCAATCAACCGTTACCGCTGTTCCGGCCTTTGGGGCTTGGACACCCTTTTGGCAATTCAACTGCGGGAAGGCTACTTCCGCCCAATCCCCTAGGCTATGGCCAGAGGGGTCTGGAACCTACCTCATCCAGCTCTCTTCTGTGGCAAAGGTCAGATGTTACTCACAGCTCCCAGTGGCAGGGAGGGAACTTACACCAGTTCTCAGGTCTGGCAGAGCCCGTGGGAGGAGGGTTAGTCACCCAGCCGGAGACATCGATCGGTACACAGGCGATCGTACCAAACCCCGGGCAGATACCGGGGGGCGGTCGGTCCGATCAATCTCCCACAAGCGATCAAGGAAACTGGCCGGCCGGGCAGCCTTTCACTACAATCCACATAAATTCGGAATTTGGAATGGAGAGGGAAATCAAGGAAGCTCCACTGCTCCAGCTCCAGTTATTTGGGGCAACACCTGATACTCAGCCAGTATCAGGAGCTGGGGTAGTACAGCGTGATGAGAGACAGTCCGAACCAAAAGCTATGTCTAGTCTCCGCCCAGATCAAATTATGAGAGATCAAGGAAATCGGGTATCGGTCCTATCCCCCCTTAAAACCAGGAGGCTGGGTGAGGGAGGTTCGAGCGAACCTACACAAGAGGATCACGAGGGGGAAATTCCATTTGTCAATATCACATCCCCCCCGCTACAGGGTCGAACAGACACAGCAAATCGGATGAGGCCTCTGGCAATAGGCAGAGGGCAAGGGAAACTCACTGCCTCCTCCTCAGGAGTAGTACGTCCGAATGTAAAGCACTTCCTGGTGCCGATCATTGCCTCTTTGGCACCTCAGGGTGTCAAGGTCTTGGCCCTCAAACAACTGGACGGCACCTTGGCTCTGCCAGTTACAGTGGTCGACGATGCCCCCAGCACAAAGTTGGTCATTCGCAATGCTACAGACCACTTTGTAAACGGGCGTTTCCAATACAGACTGATCCCAGGGATTCGTACAGGTCAAAAGTCCATCGAATTACAGGAAGGCTCCCAAGCGTGCTTTCGCCTAGCAGTGATGGATGCAAAAATCACAGCAGAGATAGCAGCAACACTGGAAAGCCAGGGGGTCCATTGGATCCCGACCCAGTGGTTTGATCCGTCACTCTTGGTAGAAGCTCAGAAAGTGGTTTTGATTAATGGCATTAATGCCAAGCTGGTAGCAGATTACTGCAATAGCCTACCAAATGATAAACAGCCATGGCCCCCCCTATTCCGTAACTTGCTATTAACTCCGTGGGAAAGCAATCAGGAAGGGGACAACGCTAACCAAGGTAGGCGCAGAAAGAGCAGTCGAAACTCAGTCAATGAGCAGCGGATCCAAACTTCCTCAGCCCCCCCCGCTACTAATGGATAAGGTGAGGATGGCGACCTGGAACGTAAGGGGATTGGGGGACACGTCCGGCAGGAAGAAAAAAGCAAGGGTTAAATCTTGGGTCCACCAACAGAGAATCAAAATATTTTTTTTTACAAGAAACGAAATGTGATGAAGAAAAAATTAATCGATTCTCAAAATGGTGGAGAGGCCCTCAGTGGTGGTCCTCCGCTGATGGAACCAAGGGCGGTACTGCGATTTTAATTCATAGGGACCTGGAAATGACGGTTATCGAAAGCGGATCAGACATTTGGGGGCAATGGACATGGGTGAGGACCATTTATGAAGGGAAAGAATGAATTTTTGCGTCAGTTTACGCTCCTGCCACACCGGGGGATCGTAGATCGTTCCTATCAGATCTTTCCAATGTAATTCCTGAAGGTGAACACATGGTGGTGGCTGGCGATTTCAACACAACAATGTGGCATGGGCTCGACTCTCCGAACCGGGCCCAAGGAAAACAGACGCTATCATACTAACCCGCTTCTTGGAGGAATATGCGCTTACAGATACCTACCAGGCGCTGCACCCGGATTCTCCTGGCTTTACCTGGTGGTCGGGCCGACAGTCGGGTGACAGAGAACCGACCACCAGGCGTCTGGACCTAGTTTTGACGAAAGGGGAATCTTGGAAGACAGCACTGGAAGTAGAGGTGTGTCCCTCACTGATATCAGATCATTGGCCAGTGATGGCGGAGCTCAGAATGGGAGAGAGTCCAAGGAGGGAGGCTGGTCCGTTCAGATTAAATACAGAAAATCTGCAGATACCGGGAGTGGCGGAATGGTGCAAGAAACATTGGGAGGACTGGGAGCAGACCAAAGAGTGGTTTGACTCCGAAGAGGAGAGGGTCCAATTGGGCTTCAGGATTGTCACGAGAGCCATGGATGCGTTTTCAAGAGTTCTGGCCAGGGAATGCAACAAGGAGTGGGAATGCAGGCAAATGGTGTTGAAAGCGGAGAGTAGGATTAGGGAAGACCCCTTCACGGACATTTATTGGGAAAGGAAAAGGGACGAATGGCTGAGAAAGTGGGATGTGCTGCAAATTCGCCAACAAGAAGTCTGGGCCAAAAGAGCAAGGGAGCGAGGAATGGCGTTAGTGGACAGAATGTCCAAAGAAACATTTCGAAGGCTATGCCCGCCCAGATCCCACAGTGTGATCAGGGCTTTGGGGCATCTATTCAATTCACTGGCAGATATTGCAGAGGACACTGAAGCCATGACAGTCTGCGCAACTGAGTATTATAGCGACATCTTGACATCACGCAGACCGATAGAAGAAACCTTGGCCGATCTGAAAGTTGAAGGGGATCTTTGGCAGTTCTCTGCATATCGCTTGAAACAAGACCAACGCCTGTCTTTGGACAGGCCTTTGACCTTGGAAGAGCTCAAGGAGGCAGTTGAACACATGGCTAAAGGGAAAGTGCCGGGGGATGACGGCCTCCCAGTGGAATTCTACCAGGCTACTTGGGATCAGGTGGGACCGATTCTGCTGAAACTTTTTAACAGAATCTTGGACGGAGGATCGCTAACTGAAGACATGTGCCGCGGGACAATCACACTGCTATACAAGAAGGGCGATAAGAAGAATGTGCGTAATTGGAGACCTATTTCCCTCCTTAACGCGTCATACAAGATCCTGGCCAAGGCTTTGGCTCGAAGACTGGCAGTTGCGCTCCCGGATTTGGTGAAAGCGGACCAAGGGGCCTTTGTCAACGGTCGGTCTATTGCTGAGAACATGGCGGTTGCTGTCGGCGCTCTGGAAATCATCTCCAAGGAGAAGAGACAGGTCTTAGTTGCCATGTTGGACCTGGAGAAAGCTTACGATCGTGTAAACTGGGCCTTTGTATTAGCGACACTGGAACACCTGAATTTCGGCATCTCCTTCAGGGCTTGGGTGTCAGCATTATACAAAAGTTCTACAGCGGTAGTAGTTGTCAACGGCAAGAGATCCAGGGTTTTTGATCTGTCCAGGTCATTAAGACAGGGGTGTCCACTGGCCCCCCTGCTGTTTGTCCTCCAAATTGAGGTAGTGCTCAATGCCATAAGAGCGAATCCTGTAATCAAAGGACTGCACCTAGGAGGGAACACAGTAGTAACGACTGGAGCAATAGCTGACGACCTACTATTGATTACTGAGGTAACCCAGGAGTCCATAGATGCAGCAAAGGCCATCCAGGATCTTTACTCCCTACAATCGGAGGCTCAAGTTAACTAGGACAAATCGGTTTTTTTTCTCCCAGCTGAATTTGAGCTTCCCAATGATTGGTCAATGAGAAGAGTCGAGGAGATCGAATCAGAGAGATATTTAGGGCTTCAGGTGTCATTGTCTAGCAGCCACTCGGCACAGGACTCAATTTTGCTTGCGAAGGTGAAGGCCAAAATAAAAAGATGCAGATCAGCTCTGGGCCTCTCGTTAATGGGCCAGGCTACAATCCTTATAACTTCATTTTTTTCCTTAATCTGACATATAGCAGCAGTTATCCTGATCTCCAGAAAAACGTTGCAGGCCATTAGGAGAGAGGCCGCTCGCTATTTATGGAAGCCGGAGGCGGAAGAGGAACAAAACTTCATCTCTAAGGTCTCATGGGATAAGATTACGTTGCCAAAAGAGGAGGGTGGTCTGACAATTGTTGATCCAGAAAGACAGAACATCGCTTTACTGGGCAAATGGATACAAAAAGCCAGCACTCAGTCCGAGTACAGAAACTGGTTGGCGGCGGTGGAGTATATCTTGCAGCAGGAATTTAAGCTCCGGAGGAAGGAAGATGTCTGGACCTGCATTCAAGTCCCATCCTACTTGCACAGGAGACCCAAATCTGCAATGGGTTTGGCCTGGTGGGTGGCATGGAAACGATTGAGGGCAGCTCAGAGCGCCAACCCGTCTTCAAAAGAGGAAGTATTAATCCAACCTCTTTTTGATAACGCAGCGTTGGTGACCCCGGATGGGCCACCAATCACAGCGAAAGCAGACTCTTTTGGCAGAAAATGGATGGAGAAAGGGGTCTCCAGGATTACGGACATCTGGTCCGAAGCTAACAAGGACTGGAAAACGGAGGATAAATTGAAAGCAACACTGGGCAGGTTACAAGGAATAAGGATCAATTTACAAGCATTGATCGATGCTATCCCAGTGGAATGGAATTGCCTGCTGAGATCGGAGGCTTTCCCCCGAGTGGACAAGTGGTACAAGAAGGCAGAAGATGAAGTCTGCCCATCAAGAGTTTTCAAAATCGAAGAGGTTGTATCGGGGCAGGATGAATGAAAAGTATCTGAGTGGGGCGTAGAGCGAGGGCAAGGGGCTGGCCAAAAACTCAGCCTTATCCGAGAGACTTGTTTAAGCAACGATCAGCAGCTAGTGGCTATACGTGTAGCAAGGACACCAGGCGCCAACAGACGACAGACTTTCACATTGATTCAGGGGGGCGTTTGCATCCAGAAGCTGAGGCTCGACCCAAGCAGTAACCTGTGGCATATGCAAGGTAAGACGAGCGATCTCTCGCAGTTCAACACCAAGTTGGGGAGAAGAATACAGCATTCAGTTAATTTGGCTGACATAGGAGCCAAGCTTACTGGCAACCTGAGTCTCTCAGTGCCTATTACAATTCCCGAGCTGAAAGCAGTGTGGTTGCAACTGTGAGTCCTGCCAAGTCTTAAATTATCGAGTTTGCTGTGGTTGATCACACATTCTGCAGTCCCTACAGCAAAGTGGCTGGTTGTAAGAGGCGTGGCTATTCCCCCTACATGCAGTCGCTGTGGGCACCGACAGGAAGAGTCACTTCTGCATCTCATCTGGGACTGCCTGGCATCAAAAAGAATTTGGCGTTGGTGGTCCCTACACTGGCAAAGCTTAGGCTCAAACCTTCAGTGGAATCAAGACTGGATTATTACGAGACGTCTTCCACCTCTTTTCTTCCCCAAACGTGGATGGGGCTACATGGCCCAAGCCATTCGCTCTGCCATTATGTGGGTGATATGGGAGGACAGGAACAATATCCGGTTCCAAAATGAGTGGACTTCAGATTGTGGGATCAAAGCCAAGACAAAATTCATGATTCGGACAATGATTTTTGCGGACTGGGTAAGAAAAGGTGACTCTGGCAGAACACCGATAGGCAGAAATTGGTTCCTGTTCACGTGGGCTCGGGGAAATCAACTGGCAGGAGTCACCTTGGAAGGAAAGCCGTCCAGAAGATAGTGGTAACATTGAGTCAGTATATTTTTGAGTAGGTAGTTTTCCATTTAAGGGCTGGTAGATTAAGATGGTTTTCCTTTGTCACTGGGGAACGGGAGACACTTTGGAGAGGCATTATGGGGATTTGGGTTAGGACTTACCTAGTCTCTCGGTTTTCAGCTCCGCAGAAGGGGGCATCACTTAGAGTGACATTAGTTGAAACTGAACGGGCTTAGGTTCGGGGAGGCTGCAGGTAGGCCTCTTTTGTTCATTAGGGCTGGTAGCATTAGGGGTAGTTAGCGGTATGTTTAGTCGTAGTTTTACTTGCAGTAGGTCGTGGACAGTCAGAGTATTCGGTGCATACACTAAGCAGAGTAGTATTAGAGTATTCTCATAAGAATTTGAGTCTTAAGCTAAACTGGCTGATGCTGCCGGGATAACTCCGAGTTGAACTGTGAGGTCCCCGGCCTCCCCATTATTCTTTCGTAATATGATTTTGTAATAAAAAAAGAACAAAAACTGCTACGAATAAATCTGAAATGCATTTTTCGGATTTAAAAAATTCCGTAAGGTGGGACCAGACCCCAGGTCACAAGTAATAGAATACTCGTTGAGCTAGCTCAACGGTGCAAGTGGGACATGGCCCCGGGACATCCGTTAAAAATGCAACAATATAGAGAAGACAAAAAAAAGGAAAAAAAGAAAAAAACAAAGCAGTATAAAAGAATACAATCGTCCTTCGGGACATCCGTTAAAATTGGAACGATACAGAGAAGATTAGCATGGCCCCTGCGCAAGGATGACACACATAAATCGAGAAATGGTCCAAATTTTTGAGATCAATTTGTTCAAGCGGATCAATCCTTTTAAAAAATAATAATAATAAAAGAATACAATTTGGGGCTGCTAAAAAGAAAAACAATCTGTGGGGTCGGTCCCGCTGGGGTGAAGTCCCACCGCCCAAGTTTAAGTTTAGAGAACGTAACGTGTGACACCATTTTGACATTAATAAATTCGAAACAAGAAATTAAAAAACTGAAAAAATCGCTAGAAACAGCTTTTCTCCTTCTTTCTTATTAAGTAACTCGAAGAAATGAAACACGTCTGGCACAGTCGGAGTGAATGTCTCCGTGGAAAAGGGATACTTCCTGTGGTGAGGGGACAGGAGGTCACTATTTGTAAAATGGACAGGGACAACATGCATGGCCAGATGCGTTCATTGCCCAAAGAAGGTCACTATTCGTAAAATGGACAGGGACAACATGCATGGCCAGATGCGTTCATTGCCCAAAGAAGGAAGAGAGTTTGATACGAGAGAGCCAAACAGAGCTGTCAGAGCTCCTCCTTTTCAGGGTGTAATGATGTCTTAAAAAAAATAAAAAATGAAAGGCAAATAAGTTGAGAAATGTACCCTACCCTCTGTAGGGTAGTTTTCTCAACGGAAAATGGTTTCCTGCCCAAACGGAAAGGGCCAAAGCATACGAGAAAACGGATTTCACGTCAACGAAAAAATGTACAAAATGACCAAATCTAATAGGTTATTCTCCTGTATTTTGGTACCCTTAGATTCTCAATACATCAACGGCAGAGCTCCATCCCACCATGCCACCCGTGATAGAAAGCTCGGCGTTGAGAAAACTCAACTTCGGCGGTGGGACTTCACCCCTGGGGCTGTGAAATTTTGTTAGGGACGCCGGGCCCGGTTCCCGGCAATTCAAAAAAACAAATGAAAAAATTATATGTTTTTTTTTTTTTTTTTGCATAAACTCCAACAAGGTGTACTGATAGGGTGGAGGGCTCCAGTCTATTGGACCAGGTTGGGAGCCACACCTGCTGGAAAACCGGGTCCAGGGACCACGGCGGGTGGGAGCTGGGAGGGAGGACTAAGCGGGTAGCCGGCGCCTCTGCTCCCCAGATGCGAGCGGCACAGTCTTAGGGTTTAGCCATAGTCGCGCGGCGGTGTCGCGTGCATAGCCGCACGGAGCTTAACCACCATGCCCTGGAGCGCACAGCACGGGGAAGGGGCGTCTTGGAGCGGTCAAGCTACACAGGAATCAGGATAGCTCGAGCAACAGAGACACGAGCTTGTCCAGGGCTGAGAGGAGGGCGTGCGCTGGGCCGCTGGCCCTCTGAGGAGGGGAGGGAGGCAGCATGGGGTTCTCAAACAGGAGCTGCGGAGCAGAACGACAGACAGGAGGTAGCATTCAAGATGGCATAAACCACGTCGAACACTTCTGAACCGAAGAACGCTGAAAGTGTCCTTCCCATGGAACACTTCGAAACACAATGAGAGGAGAGCAGGATAACATACAACATCGCAAAAGGAGGAGCTTCAAAGGAGCAATACTCAACTCTGTGGGAGCTAAGTCCTCGTGTAAAAGACAGACGAACCAAAGAGCAAGAGAGAGAGAGAGAGAGAGAGAGAGAGAGAGAGAGAGAGAGAGAGAGAGAGAGAGAGAGA